TTACAGCGAAACGACAAATGTATAATTAGTCAGTTTTATAATGCCTTCGGAGAAAAAATGCGTGAAAAAAAAATATTTAACAGTACTCGACTGGAAGCTGCCAGGCTAGAAGTTGTCGACATGTTGCGAGATAAGGGTGAAAAAAGTTTACTTATCATTTACAACTGTATGTTTTTTGTATTCCGCTTGCTTGCTGGAAGTGTCTACGTCTTGTCTTTTTTTTTAGTTTGCAAGACTAGTTGGTAGCGCTTGAGGTAAGTTAAACAGGGCCGCGGACAGGAGGTTACACGTCGCCGCACCGTAACTGAGGCCAGCAACTCATTTGCACATAACATCAACAGTGACTTGTCAATCAAAAGAGCAACGTAAACAAACTTTCGGGACTTTTAATCACATACGCGTGCCTCGATTCCCTATATTTTAAAATCCATTTTTGGGCATGTTCCAGCATTTACAATGCTCCGAAATTTCAACACTATCTAGCCAAAACTGTCTGGGTAAGAAAAGCAAAAAAAAAAAAAGAAATTCACTCCGAGTGCCCACGAACATGCATCTATACCTTAAGCCAGATGACATTACAAATTTTACCCGTATTATGCAAATTGGAACAAATGTAAAATGGCGGACAGCGTTATCGACTGTCACTCTAGTATATCAGCTTAGACATCAGAATTCCACAAATGACAAACTGATATGTATTTTTACAATGTATAAAAGCCATGTTTACTAACACATAATTACATTCATTGCTAAAACATGTTTATGTGTCATTTTTCACAAAAAGACAACCTGACTAAACTAAAAATGTTCAAAATATGGTATTTTACACATGTATATTTAAATTGAACTTCATCTACATATAATATCATTACTGTAATAGTGGTGGTATGTTACTAGTTACAAATTGGTCACTACAACCACAGGTCCCACTACAATGCATTTTCTTAATATTCCAACTTCACCTAACTGCATCACAGCTTTTACAGTTGCATCTTGTCAATTAAGGCAATTACTTAGTACAGAAATATCAGCCATTAGATTTGGTTTTAAATCTTCATAATTAGTTTCATCATACCATCCATGGACTACTGGTAAACAGAAAAGTAGCCATCGCATGTTGGATGCACACCAAACCATGCTCTGGTAGTGTATGTTTAATATGCTGTTGCAAAGATGTGTTGGTGGCAAGCTTTCGTGATCGTTTCTCCTTCTAAGAAAGAGTCTGTAGTGGACATCGTTGATTGATTCATCTGTTTGATGTGGTGTGTGCAGTTTACAAACGAGCTTTTACACCTTTTTACACCTGCTGTACAGTATTATTTAGATCAACAAATCAGCATATTCTTTGGATGCTTTCCCGAAACCATAAAATTGGCTAATCACAACCCTGCTACTGCGCTATGAGCTGACAGTTCCCATAAATTGCATCATGGAGTTTGATTTCATGTACCTGAATATAATGTTGCTTATTTGCTGTTCCTGAATGAAAACATATCTCCTGACTCAGTTGGCCTTCACAGTGCACAA